AGAAATCTACATGAAGAAGAATGTTGGCTTCATTAAAGAAGGAAAAGAAGAGATGACGTGCAAGCTCAAGAAGAGCTTATATGGTTTGAAACAGGCTCCGAGACAGTGGTACAAGAAGTTTGATAACTTCATACAAAATAATGGTTACAGAAGATGTAATTCGGATTATTGCTGTTATTTCAAAAGGTTCGAGTCCAGCTTGATTATCTTTTTATTATATATTGATGATATGTTAGTAGCAGGACCGTGTTTAGAAGATATAAATAGTTTGAAGAAGCGGCTAGTAAAGGAGTTTGCAATGAACGACCTGGGTGTAGCAAAACAGATTCTAGGGATACGAATCAGTAGGGATGAAGCTGAAAGAACATTAAGATTGAGCCAAGCTGAATACATTGAGAAGGTACTTCAGAGGTTCAACATGCAGAATGATAAAGTTGTTAGCACGCTCCTTGGAAGTCAATTCAAGCTATCTGAGGATAAATCACCTAAGACAGATGCAGATAGAGAGCATATGAGTAGGGTGTCATATTCTTCGGCCATTGGGAGTCTCATGTATGCGATGGTTTGTACGAGGCTGAACATCGCACATGCAGTGGGAGTTGTGAGCAGGTTTGCTAGCAATCTAGGAAAACAGCATTGGGAGGTCGTGAAGTGAATATTGCGGTACTTGAGGGGAACAACGAAGAAACCACTATGTTTCAGGAGGAAGGAGTTGGTGCTACAAGGATACGTGGATGCGGACTTCGCCGGTGATCATGATACGAAGCAAAGCTCCACGGGGTATATTTATACCTTAGCATCAACAGCAGTGAGTTGGGTCTCACGTCTGCAAAAGATTATGACTTTACCTACAACCGATGCTGAGTATGTCGCGGTGACCGAAGCAAGCAAGGAAATAATCTCGTTGAATGGGTGCTTGGAAGAGTTGGATCTGAAGCAAGGGAGAGGAGTTATTTATTGTGATAGTTAGAGTACTATACATCTTGCCAAGAATCCAGTATATCATGCCAGAATGAAGCACATCTACGTCAAATATTATTTTATACACTCGCTAGTTGAAGACGAAAAGTTACACTTAATGAAGATTTTGGGGAGTCAAAATCCAACGGACATGTTTACAAAGACAGTCACCATTGAGAAACTAGAGTTGTGCGCAACTTCAGTTGGCATTCACGAGTAGAAGACGAAGGCAGAGCCACACTACGAAGATCAGTGAGATCGTCGGGATATTGTTGATTGAAGAAAGGATTTTTTTCGGGGAGGAGTAGATACATGCGAAGAAGGGGAGAGTTTGGGTGAACTCGCTGATGGCACTTTGGTCTCCAAGTGAGAGATTGTTAGTCTAAAGTGTAAATCTAAAGTTGAAGCCGAAGCTGGAATCAAAACGGGGGAGAAAATCGAGAAAAACAGGAGGAGGCCTGCACGGTCGACAGTGGCGGTCGATCGCGAACGTGCACAGAAGCTGACAAAAGGCTGGAGCTGAAGGCGGTCGACCGTCGCGGTCGACCGCACCAACTCTGTACGGATTTTTGGTCTCGGGAATCAGTTCGGTTGACCGTGACGGTCGACCGCGCTAACACTGTAATATTTTCTGCTCTCGGGAAAGTGGTTCGGTCGACCGCAGCGGTCGACCATGATACCTACGCGGTCGACCGCCACGGTAGACCACGACGCAATCAAATAGTTTCCTAAATTGTTTTGGATTCTGTTTCTTTCAGGACTCTATATATACATAAACGTTTTTAGGGCTTAGATGTACATGAAAAAAGAGAGTTTTTGACAGCAGAAAAAGAGAATCCTAGAGAGATAAAACCCTAGTTTGAGAGCTTGTATGTCTTCTTTAATTAATCAAAAGAATTGTGTGGTGTGGCTCTCGAGGACATAGGCACATTGCTGAACCTCGTTAAATCCGTGTGTTCATCTCCTTTATTATTTCTGTAAGTTTTTTAGCTTTATTTGAGGTGAATTTTCCTACTTTCTTACTTTCAACACAAGGTCCGGAAGGGCAAGGGTTCGATTTGATTGTTTCGAATCCCTAACAGACTCAGTTTGATTTATTTTTAGGAGTCCACACTCTTGGGGTTGGTCACTGCATCAGCATACCGCCGAGGTGGCAAACGGGTCGACCCGACCCGACCCATATAAATTTGATCCGACCAGTATAAGCGTGACCCGACTTGACCCGTTTAATAAATGAGTCAATGTGATCCGACTCGGTTATTAAACGGGTTACCCGACCCGACCCATATAATCCGAATGACCCATTTATTAAGTATAAGACATATCCTAACACATAACTAATAAAAAATTTTATACATGCACAAAAGAACACTTCTTGCAAGCTCTTTAGACAAAAACTATCATTACTTACAACATGGAGTTATTTCAGCACAAAAGAACACTTCTTGCAAGCTCTTTAGACAAAAACTATCATTACTTACAACATGGAGTTATTTCAAAGACATATTCAGTATTTAAAAACTATCATTACTTACAACATGGAGTTATTTCAAAGACATATTCAGTATTTAAATGTACTTCAACGAAATGCAAATATCGACAAACAAAAATACATCGATGCATCTCTTTAGACACATGAATAATCTAAACTAAGAACTAACAACAAAGAATTTAACACAAGTAAATAAAGAGAATATACACAAGTTTACAACAAAATTGCTAAAACCCATCAAGCATCATCTTTTTAAAAAGAAATATACTCGTTGCAAGAGCTCTGAAAATAAGATTAAAATGCAATTACAGTTTACAAAAAATTTAACTGACCCATCTCCAAATTTGAGTCAAAAAATTCATTCTCAGAGTGAAGGAGACAATAACTATAACAAAAGGAGATAACCAGCTACATCCCAACACAAAATTTCTTGAATATGCCTCTAATTAGAGAAATGAAAACTGAATAATTTCACACTACAAGAAATCTGATATTTAACGACCAAAATTAGTGAAGGGACCAGTTGACCGTCGTTAATGTGTATGTAATAACGACGGGTTTTTAAAGCCTTCGTCGAGTGATTACAAATATTATAGGAATGATGTGAGATGGGTAACGGTTTTCTAGTCCCTTCATTAATTTAATCCTAATACCGTCGTTATTGGGTCTCCTGAATAACGAAGGGTTCCATCACCATCATTGATGATACTCCTAATCATAATAGGAATGATAGTTAAACCTATTACTATTAATTAACAATACCCACAATACAAATCCCCAAACCCGAACCCGTATTCTACAATTCCCAAACTTCTGACTAATTAATTATCTCTCAGCCGCCATATCAATAAATTAACCTAGCTTATATTTTCTAAAAGTCTTCATCTTCTTCGTCAATACCTTCACGCCGCCGATCATCCCAGCGCCGCCGCTGCTCCAGCGTCGCCTCCCCGACGTTGCCCGCCGCCCCATCGTCGGCAGCTAACCCAGTCCGCCCACCTTTCGACGTTGCTGCAGCAAATCCCAGCACCGCCGTCGTCATCTCGAGATCAGGCCGCTCCTCGTCGTCGCGCGCCGTCTCGAGTTCAGTCGGCGTCGTCAACATCTGTTCGTCGGCTCCAGTTCGTCGGCGAGAGTCGGCGTCATCTTGAGTTCCCCGTCGTCAACTACAGTTCGTCGTGGTCTCGAGTCGTCGTACGTCTTCAGTTCGTCTGCAGATCTCGTCGTCGAGATCTCGTAGCCGTCGAGCAACGCCACAGAACCGCCCAGCGTCGTCGTCGCCCCAGCGCCATCGCCGCCCCAGCGCCGTCGTCGAGAACTCTTCCTCCATCGCGCGGCTCGACGTACGGTAACTTGTTCAGTTACTGTTTGATTTTAGTACACACCCTATACTTTAAACTAGATTGCACTTAAGTACCCCTTGTAACAATTAAAGCCAAAAAGATTTATGAATTTGCAAATAGGTGTTGATTCTATTCTTTCCATCAAAAAATATTTATATGATTGTTTAAAAACTTGTTCAGTTACGGTCTCTTATTTCTTAAAACATTTATATGATTGTTTAAAAATATTTATGAATTTGCTAAATTGATTCCTCGAAGGTAATTTTTGCAGTTACTGTTTGATTTTAGTACAGACCCTATAGTTTCAACTACTTTGCACTTAAGTACCCCCTTGTAACAATTAAAGCAAAAAACATTTATGAATTTGCAAATAAGTTTTGATTCTATTCTTCCTATAAAAAAATATTTATATGATTGTTTAAAAACTTATACCAATCCCACCGATAAGTAATTGCTTAAGGAAATTATTGGAACAAATTGACAAGCATTGGTCATCATGATCATTATCTAGATTTGGAGAATTCCAATGGCAGACAAGATAGTATTCAAAAGTTCTTTATTCTTAAAACTATGATATTTCTATTATTCACGTACTCCGTCTACATCTCCACTTTCACGTGTTGTCCAAATCCTTACTCAATCCCCGCTCTTTTGACTGCTCACTCAAATGTTCATCGCTACAAGAAATCTAGTATTTAACGACCAAAATTAGTGAAGAGACCAGTTGACCATCATTATATACATGTTGCAATTATATTGGCTTAAAGTACCCTATACATGTTGCAATTATATACCCTATAAATGTGTGGTATTTACTTAAGTTAAATGAATTTTAAATGATTATTTCTTTAGCTATTCAGATGTACTTGTCAAGCTTGGACATACCACTTTCCATTAACAAGTCATTTTGTTAGTTATAATCATAGTTCCTATGTCACATGTGCTTTGAAAGGAAAATGAGTTTTTTTTTACTAATTTGTTCTATTTACTAATTTGTTATATGGTAGTATTTTTGCCTTTAAATTGACCCTATAATTGCATAAATAAATACTTTCTGAATGACACCATATATAGGTTAACTTCTTTGCATTAGAATGACCATATATCTGAACATATGAGTCTCTACATAAAATTAAGCATTTATTTGTGTTTAGTTTTTGAAGAGGTTGAAATATTTTTCAGGAAATTTTAGTACATTGCTTGAAATGGCGCCGAATAAAGATTGGATGGACCTAGTAGATGATGATAGACTTGATCCAAAATATAAAGAAGGGGTTGATCAGTTTTTAGACTATGCATATGAGAAGCTGTTGGATAGTTTTAATGAAAAGGATGAAGACTTTGAAATTCGATGTCCATGTGTTAAATGCAGCAATGTGAAGTCTGGTAATCGTGAGTCGGTAAAGACCCACTTGATTATTCATGGAATTATTAAAAACTACAGATTTTGGTGTCATCACGGCGAAAGACAGGGTGAGTCCATTTCGGAGTTTGATGAAGAACAAGAAGAAATGATAGAAGAAAGCCAGAGTGACGATGAAATGCAAGAAATGATTGGAGATTTATTTCATAATTCAACTGGCGTTGTTGCACCTGATGCCACGTCGAGTCAGGATATTCTTGAGCAGGAACCAGATGGACATGCAAAACAATTCTACAGTCTTTTAGGTGACTCCGAGAAACCTTTGTATGAAGGCTCTAAATGTTCAAAGTTATCTGCTTTAGTGAAACTACTTCACATAAAGAGCCTAAATAGGTGGAGTAATAAATCATTCTCAATGTTGCTCCAGTTTTTGAATGAGGAGCTATTGCCAGGGGAATCAACACTGCCTAATTCGTATGACGAGGCCAAAAAATTAATCCGAGACCTTGGCCTATCATATGAAAAAATTGATTCGTGTCCATTCTCTTGCATGCTGTTTTGGAAAAATGAAGAAGGTCTTGATACGTGTCAGAGATGTGGTGCTTCTAGATGGAAACTTGATAAACATGGAAAAGAGATCAAGCGAAAGGCAAATGGTAAAAAAATACCACAAAAGACATTGCGATATTTTCCTCTTAAGCCACGATTGCAAAGGCTTTACATGTCTTCGAAGACAGCTTCTGATATGAGATGGCACCATGAAAGACAAGTTGAGGACGGAGTGATGAGGCATCCAGCTGACTCTAAGGCTTGGAAAAACTTTAATGAGCTACATGAAAGCTTTGCCGAAGAGCCCCGAAATGTTAGGCTCGGTCTTGCAAGTGATGGTTTCCAACCTTTCACAAATTCAAAAGTTTCTTATAGCATATGGCCCGTTTTACTTGTACCATATAACTTACCACCATGGATGTGCATGAAGCAATCTAATTTTATTTTATCTATGCTCATTCCTGGTCCAACTGGTCCTGGAGATGCTATTGACACCTACTTACAACCATTGATAGAAGAACTAAAGGAGTTGTGGGCCTCAGGCGTTCGAACATATGATGTATCTCTGAGACAGAATTTCATTTTACGTGCAGCACTAATTTGGACCATTAATGATTTTCCTGCTTATGCAAATTTATCTGGATGGAGCACTAAGGGGAAATTAGCATGTCCTTGTTGTAATAAGCACACTCACTCTATCAGGTTAAAATATGGAGGCAAGCAGAGCTATATGGGGCATCGTCGCTATCTTGATGAAAATCACAGTTGGAGAAAGGATAAGAAATCATTTGATGGCACTAGGGAGAGAGGGTATGCAGCGCCGAAGCTGACCGGAGATGACATCCTTAAGCAGGTGGAAGATCTTATAGGGATCACCTTGACCAATCATCCAGAGAAGAAAATTAAAATATCACACGAAAGACGGGGAGATAATTGGAATAAAAAAAGTATTTTTTTTATTTGCCATATTGGAGAACTCTCTTATTGCGACATAATTTAGATGTCATGCATATTGAGAAGAATATTTGTGATAGTCTGCTGGGAACAATCATGAACATTAAAGGAAAGACAAAGGATAATATCAAAGCCCGTCTCGATTTACAAGCAATGAGTTTAAAACCGGAGTTACATCCAATCCAGAGAGGAGATAAACTTGTGATGCCAGCAGCTTGTTATACTTTATCCCAAGAAGAGCAAAGCAAATTTTGTCGATTTCTAAAGGAGTTAAAAGTTCCAGATGGATTTTCATCCAATATTTCTCAATGTGTAAATCTTAAAGAGCGTAAGATTTTGGGGTTAAAGAGTCATGACTGTCACGTTCTTTTGCAGCGCTTGATTCCTGTATCGATTCGTGGCCTTCTTCCTACAAAAGTGTGTGAACCAATTATTGAACTTTCCATATTCTTCACTATATTATGTGCCAAGACATTAAGGGTGGATGAACTTAAGCAAATTGATGAGCAGATTCCACTTACGTTATGTAAGCTTGAGAAGATTTTTCCACCTTCAATTTTTGATGTTATGCTGCATTTAGTAGTTCATTTAGCATCTGAAGCCATACTTGGAGGGCCTGTTCGATTTCGATGGATGTACCCAGTGGAGCGTCAGCTTTATACTTATAAGTCATATATCAGAAATAGGGCACGTCCAGAAGGGTCAATTGCTGAAGGATATATAGCAGATGAATGCATGACTTTTTGCTCAAGATATCTAAAAGGCTTCGAGACAAAGTTTAATCGCCTTGAAAGAAATTATGAAGATGACAATAGAGAATGTAATGAAGCACAACTATCTATTTTCAGACATAGTGGGCGGGCATTGGGTGCTGCCACCACCCGCTACCTTGATGAACGTGAGTGGTTGCAAGCTCATATTTATGTTCTAAAGAACTGTGATGAAGTGCAACCACACATTGAGTAAGTCACTAAAGTTTAAGATTCTACTAATAAATTTACTATAGTTAGTCAACGTTAATCATATTTATGATATTTTAATGTAGGGACTACAATGAATTCGTGAGAGAACCCACAAATCACTATGATGATAAAGATTGGGATAAGAACTTTATCGAGTGGTTCCAAGCTCTAGTACGTATATATCTTGCCTTATTTTTTAAATATCTTGATTGGTTCATTTTATTACATGTTCCATGACTTGATCATATTTTGGTTTTGTTTAGGTTTATCAGAGTTATCGAGAAGATGATGACTTACTTTCACTATCTCGTGGTCCAAGTAAGATTGTTAAATGTTTTACTGGATTTGTCATAAATGGACATCGATTTCATACAGAAAGTCGAGATAATTGTTTGTCAACTCAAAGTAGTGGGGTTGCAGTTGTTGGTGATGCTGGTGATGGTGGAGATATAGATTATTATGGTGCTTTGGTTGAAGTTGTCGAATTAGAGTATCCTGGTAGAAGAAAGGTTGTTCTATTTCGTTGTAAATGGTGGGATGTGCACGGCAAAGGAAAAGGGACCGCTTTGAAAGAAGACAAATATGGATTTATCAGTATTAACTGCCGACACTTGCTAAAGACGAATGACCACTTTATACTTGCTGGCCAAGCATCACAAGTTTTTTATGTTGAGGATATTGCCAATGAAGGTTGGCATGTAGTTCTTAAAGCACAACCCCGTGATTCCTATGATATGCCACCAGATACAGATGATTGTGGGATAACAGACGATGGAGTTGAAGCTTATTTGCAAGATGAATCATTTGATGCTCAGGCTATTGCATCAACATCATTGGAAGATGATTATATCAATTTGAGAAGGAGTGATATTGATCCAATTATTGTAAATTCGGTCTCAACTTCAAAAAAGAGGAAAAAGACTCAAGCAGAGAATTAGAACGCTTTAATTAAAGAATAGAACACAAATGATATTGTGTTATTGAGATAAAATTTAAGTTGTATCTTCACTATAACTATTCCTTTTTTAGACATATGATGTTCTTTTCTTCATATTTTGGATGTGGCTTTGACATTGCAGCAAGTGCTTCTACATTAGTGTATTATGTATTTATTGTTATGCTTGTCCTTCGTGATATCTTCTTCTTTTATTCATTTCTCTTTTGATATTTGTTTCATACATAGTGTGTAATACTTAAATTCCTTTTCATAGCAGGAAAATGAAAACTCAAGAAGTCACTTCCAAAAGCAAAAAGGCACAATTTCTAGCACCCAGGTCATTAATTAGGAAGCGACTTCAAGCAATTGCAGAAAATTCATTAAGAAGGGAACAACTCCGTACTTGTCATGACATGAACTTGAATATTCAAAATCCAACACAAGATCAAAATATGGATGCAAATTTTAGCGCTGATTCAGAAAACTTTGAAGAGGAGAATTTTGCACAAAATCGCAGGAGAAGTGCAAATACTAACAATGAAGAGAATGATGATTCTGCAGGTTGATGAGACTTAAAATTTATTATTATTTGTTTTTATCTTTCAATTTATTTTTTATGATTGGATTAATAATTGCTCAATTTTTGCAGAATCAGATAATCATCGAGTGCAAAGTGATGATGCAATACTAAATGAATCTCGACAAGAAGGTATATTCTTTATTAATTACAAGAAGAAATATTTTTATCAATTTCTTTAACTATATCTTGTTTCTAACATATGATATGATGTATGCAGCTGATAATTCTCAAAGGAAGAAAAATCCACCTCGTGGTAGTAATAAGTGTCTAAAGTTGAATAATTTGTCACATGGGGAGAAAAAAATCATTACTTTTTATCAGAATAGAGCTATTGAACCAGAATTTTCACGATATCTTGGAATTATTATTCGAGATAGAAATATTTGCCCAGTAGCTGTTGAGAATTGGGCCAAAATACCACAGCAAAATAAAGATCATATGTGGGCATCCATTAAGGTACATTGAAAATTAATTTTTTACAATTGGTTTTTAATTCTTATAAATTAAATTTTGATTCAAATTTGATATAGGATAAATTTGATGCTGATGACATGGAGCAAAAGAGAGAGTCAGTAATGAGACACTTGCGCGATTTGTGGAATAAGTGGCGTGGTGACATGCACAGGAAATATGTGAAAGAAAATTCATTGCAAGTTGCACTTAGAAATAAACCTACAGAAGTGAGTGTTGATGACTGGGATTGGCTAGTTAAGGAACATTATTTTTCTTCAAAATTCCAGGTATTAATCTCCTAATTTTATTAATTAATTTCTTTCATGTATATTGTTGGATTGTTAAAATTATCTTTTAATCTTGATGTATAGAAAGCAAGCCAACAAAATACACTTAACAGAGGCAAACGAAAGATGCTCCACCACACGGGCAGCAAATCCTTTAGACAAATTGCGTGGGAATTGGTATACATTCAAAACTAATTTCCTATTTATTTATAACTACTTTGTTTTTGAGTTTGATGTTGTACTCATTTGTATTTAATATTTGAATAAGGGTGGCAAGTCAGGAAATCCACCTGATGTGGCAAAAATGTTTCATGAAACTCGAAAGAAAGCTAATGAAACACTAGAAAATGGGGATCAAGATAAATATGTAAGTAGAATATGTAGTTCAACACTGTAATCTCGCGGCACACCATTTTCCTTGCATCTCTTTTACTAAAGAAGACATGCAGACGAAGAACTCAAAGCATGATCGGCCTTTGTATTTCACCGGGCACATTGGCTTCAGCATGGTCAACCGGATCCAAGTTGATCCGGGTTCTGCTGTTAGCATCATGCCATTCCGACTGATGCATAATCTTGGAATACCAACAAGCAAGCTAGCGTCCACGGGCACTACGATCTACGGATTCAACACCAGTGGGTCCAGACCCTTGGGAAAGATAGATTCGAATCAAATGCCAGATCGGGGATTTAAAATCAGAAGTTACCTGCTATGTGATTGACGCAGAAACGTCCTATAACTTACTGTTGGGTCGACCTTGGATCCACGGCAATCTTATAGTCCCGTCAACTCTTCACCAGTGCCTCAAGTATGTGGACACAAATAATGAAGTCAAGACGGTGGTCGCGGATAAGCAACCGTTTAAGGGATTAGAGAACTATTTCACTGATTCCCTTCTATACGGCGCCGAATCCGATACTGAACCATCGGCCCAAGGAACGGACAATGGGGATGAAGCTGACACCGAAGCTGGGTTTGATTATGATGGTGGTTTTGTACTTAATGACATTGTACCCATTGTAATCAATCTTGACGATGATGAATCATCGGAAAATAGTTGTAATTGGCAACTTGCCGAAGAACTATCAATAAACGATGATTTAGAGTACTCTATGTGTCTGGATAGTTTTACTAAAGAATTGTATGATAACCCTGAATTTTATATGCCACTTCAATCATTTTGTATGACGAAAAAAC